CATTCCCTGGGTGCGGGATCTAGCAGAGGCGTACCTGCGTCTGAGCCGGCACCTGTCTTTAGACTCAGAGGGCGTGCGACAGCAGCACGAGCGGCACACGGACGTGTGCGCGTGTATCATCCTGAGGTGCCTCGTGGCGGAAGTGGCGAGGGAGAGGGAAGAGGCGAGGTTGGAGGCTGCTGCGGTGGCGGTTGCTGCGGCGGCTTCTTCGCCTGGGTCGCCTGATGCTGCTGGGATGCCTGAGGGGGCTGGTTCGACTGGTTCGGCTGCTGCAGTTAAAGCTACTGAGGGTGGTGGTGCTGCTGCTGCTACCGATCCGGCTGTTGGTCTGCCAGGAAATTCCGTGGAGGCCTTATTGGGAGGGAGGGGAGGTGAGGAAAGCAGTAGCGCAGACGCACAGCAGGAGAGGAGGGAGAGGGAGGAGAGGGACGCGGCGATGGCGGCGCTGCTTGTGCATTTGGACAAGGCGCCGGGGGGCACGGGGTCGCTGGCATGGAAGGCCATTGGTCGCATGCTGGAGCGCAGGAACCCCACCCACCCCGTGCTGCCCGCCGTGTGGGTGCGGGCCGTGCTGAATACCCACCTGGTGAGTGAGAGATTTGGTGAGTGAGTGAGAGAGTGGGTGAGTGAGAGAGTGGGTGAGTGAGGAAGTGATTGGCGTGTGTGTGGGTGTTACGGTGCGTTTGGAGGGACAAGGCGCCGGGGGGCACGGGGTCGCTGGCATGGAAGGCCATTGGTCGCATGCTGGAGCGCAGGAACCCCACCCACCCCGTGCTGCCCGCCGTGTGGGTGCGAGCCGTACTCAACACCCACCTGGTGAGTGCTGTGTGCGTGTGCTGTGTTGCCTGTTGTGGTGGTGAGTGCTGAAGCAGTGCAACCTGTCTCCACCTGTGCTGCTTGCCGTGTGGGTGCGGGCGGTTCTCAAAACACCCACCCATCTCCCCCACACCCTCCCTCTCCCCTCCCTAACCCTCTCTTCTCCTTGTTGCCAACGCTACAGGCTGTGAACGAGGAGGGAACGGGCACAGACGTGGACGCTCTCGAGCTCTTTGATTGGTCGCTCGAGTCTCTTCTCGTCACTCTCCCAGGAGGCCCCGAAGCTGCTGCGTCCCTTCTAAAGGTCATAGACTCTGCCGCACAATGGGATTCCACTGCAAGATTGGAGAATTCTGCTGCACAGTTGGGGAGTCCTGCTGCACGATGGGAGAACTCCACTGTCGGTGGCTGTTCGGGTGCGGCGCGGCTGTCGGATGCGACACGTGTCGACGTGCTACTGGCCATTGCTGCGCGTGTGGCGTGCACTATTTATTGGCGGTGGCCCAGAAGGAGGGATGCGCCGAGATTCGTGGCTCAAGTGCTGACGCTGGCGCACGGCACAGGTGAGACTGCTTGCGCTGCTGCTGGTGCACAGCGCAGGGTGCTGCGACGCTTTGTCCTATTGGTGTCTGGGGGGCCAAGTGGGTAAGGGCACGAGTGATACTTTTTTGAGACGTCTCAAAAAAAACTTGCGCTGCTGCTGGTGCACAGCACAGGGTGCTGCGACGCTTTGTCCTATTGGTGTCTGGGGGGCCAAGTGGGTAAGGGCACGAGTGAGACTCTTGCGATAAGCGGTTAGAATGTGTGGAGGATGGTTAGGGTGGGGGATGAGAACGAGTGGGGAATGGATCATGGAATAGGTTGGGGTATGGGAAAGGGTTACGGGTGGGAAAGTGCTCATGAGATCTATATGCCCCAATCTCCTCCCTAACACTCACGGCCGCACCAGTGGGCATGACCTCGGAGCAACTGCAGCGGGCTCTCAAGATCGGGGAGCGCCTGTGGGGATGGACCATGCCCAGCCCTGCGTCCCTGCAGCAGCGCTGCGAGGTGAGTCTGTGCCGGTCAAATGTTGGGAATGCTAATCAATCCAGTCCGTCTTTTGAGGCACCTCAAAAGTCTATGCCGGTCAAATGTTGGGAATGCTAATCAATCCAGTCCGTCTTTTGAGGCGCCTCAAAAGTCTATGCCGGTCAAATGTTGGGAATGCTAATCAATCCAGTCCGTCTTTTGAGGCGCCTCAAAAGTCTATGCCGGTCAAATGTTGGGAATGCTAATCAATCCAGTCCGTCTTTTGAGGCGCCTCAAAAGTCTATGCCGGTCAAATGTTGGGAATGCTAATCAATCCAGTCCGTGTCAGTTAAAGCCATTACGCCAGTGGGGATAGACCGTGCCCAGCCTGGCATCCCTGCAACAGCGGTGTGAGGTGAGTCGTTTAGAGGTCGTCTACTGTTAATGTGAGTCAACACAGGTCAATGCAGTCCGTGGCAGTACAGCCATTACGCTTGTGGGGATGGACCATGCCCAGTCCAGCTTCCCTGCAGCAGCGCCGTGAGGTGAGTCAATGCGAGTCCACACAAGTCAATCCAGTCCGTGCCCCTAAAGCAGACAGTTTCTCACCTTGCTATGCTTCCCCTGCACCTCCATCAATCCTTGCATCCCATGTCACTGCACAGACGCCAGAGGAGGCGCTGGAGATAAGGGAGAGCTGCATTATATCAGTGTGATGCTCCTCTCATGCACAGAAGCAGACAGTGTCTCACCATACCCCTGCACCCTCATCACTCCTCGCATCCCCGTGTTCAATGCGCAGACGCCAGAGGAGGCGCGGGAGATAAGGGAGAGCTGCATTATATCAGCGTGGTATTCCACGTCGGCGTTCCGAGGGGAGGAGCCCATAGAGCTCATTGGCTCGCAATGGCCCTACAGGTAGATACGTTGGCGCCTCAAGGGATGGCTTTCGGGAGCTTCAAAGGGAGAGCTGCGTCATATCAGCATTGTATTCCACATCGGCGTTCCAAGGGGAAGAGCCCATAGAGCTCATTGGCTCGCAATGGCCCTACAGGTAGATTCCTTTGGCGCTGTTCCCCAAAGGACGGCTCTCAGGCAGTGAGCTGTATCATATCATATCTGCACAGGCGCCAGAAGGGTCGTGGGAGATCAGGGAGCGCTATATCATATCATATCATATCATATCATATCTGCACAGACGCCAGAGGAGGCGTGGGAGATCAGGGAGAGGTGTATCATATCAGCATGCTTCTGACACGGCATTTTGAGGAGAATCACCTATAGTGCTTATGGGTTCACACTGACCGTACAGAGAGCTATGTGGTTACCAGGTAAAAGCTGTCAGCAGTGGCTCACTCCAGGTGATCCCATATTTGAACGTGGTTTGATAGTGGTCCTACAGGTTGTTATGCACGATACCAAGTAACAGCTCGGTTACCAGGTAACAGCACAGTTACCAGGAAGCAGCAGGAAAGGCAGGGATGGAGCGAAGAAGGACAAGGGAATCTGTTCTGGGTCCGCAGGAGTTTTGAGGCGTCGCAGAGGTACAATATGGGGGTGCAGACGCATTTGGTGATGAACAGAACTTCGAGCAGGAGTGTGGTGGATGGAAAAGACACAGTGGTGCAAGAGAAGGTGGATGGAAACCGTGAAGTGGACTTCATCCGAGGCTGAGGCGTCTCTACGTCGAGGCAGAGCCTTGAGGAGGGTTGACACGACACGACTAACCTGACCTGATCTTTGAAGCCTTGTACACGCTTGAGTTCCATTCCCAGCATTATGGCGATGATACGATGGTGTGGAAGTGCAGGAACTCAAAAGCGGAGGAAAGCAGAAGCAGAAAACCAACCTGACCTGATCTTTGAAGCCGTGTACAGGCTTGAGTTCCCGGCAATCTGGTGATGAAGCGGTGGTGTTCAAGCACAGGAATTCGATTTCGAAAGCGGAGAAAAATGGAAGCAGCGGCAACAACACTGCAGCAGTGGGACTTCTGCAAGAGCGAACCAAACATGCTGTGACGATTGGATTTCTGCAGGAGGCTTTCAGAGAAGCAGAAAGAGTTGATGGGTGGCAGGAAAGGGGATGCGGACGGAACTCAAGAGGAATGAGCCGTTTTGAGCAGCCACAAGAAACCAAGCAAGCATGTCTTGAGGGCTGGAGGCAAGCTGACAAGTTAGCAGGCACGATCGGTGCAGTGCCATGACTACACGTGCAGCTAAGCTGCTCGTGAAAGGGGTGTCAATAAATTTAATTGGCAGCGGGAGGGTGTGGGGGGAGTAAGGGACTGTGAGTCGTTTTTCTGTGCATTCTGCTATTTGATTTGCTATACTTATTACATATAAGCGTGTATGCCTTTTGTAAGCCTATAATTGCTTATGGAACTTGACATGTACCGTCGAGTACCAGCGGTTCAGCCGGGCTTGCAGATTCTGCTAATGAGGCCAGACATTCCTACTCATGCGCCCCCAATCGACCGTCATTAGCGTTCGACACCACCACCTCCTACATATCCTTCCTATCTTATCCTCCTACCTGTTTCGTACTAAAGTTCGAATCGTCGGATCGCGACGCCGCGTTTTTTCCGCGTCCATGCTTTCAAACATGCGACAACGCACTACTGGATAGGTTAGTGTGTTTTGCTGCGGGAGCAACCCACAGATTAACCGTCACAGCCCGCTGAATCAGTGGCTTGCGTTGCGCTACCTAATCCCACGCCGCAGTTGCTCAATTGCGGCCCATCACGCCCTAGCGCCTCGGGCTGTTTGGTGCAACTGTACGCGCTTTTTTCAGTCCCCGTGAAACGACGGACACGAGTGTCAAGGGCACCCCTCTCCGTGGCTCCATCGACATTAGCCCGCCCTTTTCCCTTCCTACGTACCTCGTTTTTCGACTCTCACTCCTCAGGGTCGGTCCACGAATCGCTTTACGCCACGTCCGCCCTGCTGGGCCAACGCCACGGGCCCCGGGGGCAGGTAGGGATCGTTGGTGAGGCTGTTGCGAAGATGAGGTCAATGCCGTCTGTTGGCATGCAACAACAACAGCAGCAACAGCAGCAACATCAACAACATCAGCAGCAGCAGCCATTGCAGCAGCCACCACTGCAAGAGCAAGCAGGAAAAGCAAGGCAAACAGGGTTGAGGGCTACCCGGGTGCTCGGAGCTGCTCCTGCATTGATGAAGAAAAAGCCCTCCCCAGGAGTCTCATCCTCGTTAACGGGCATGGCGTTAGCAGTTAGGCAACTCGCTGCGGTGTACGAACAAGTGGAGCGCGCCAAGCTGGAGCGGCTGCTGGAAACGGAGAGAATGCGGATGGAGCTGAGCAAAGACATGGAAGCGCAGATGATGCAGATGCAAGTCGACATGGCGCGAGCAAGCGGTGCTCCTAGGTACAGTTTTGATGCTGGTGGTGGTGGTGCTGCTGCTGCTGCTGCTGCTGCTCCTGTTGGTGCTGGTGGCGCTGGCGGTGCTTGTGGTGGTCTTACGGATGGGCTGGTGGGTAGCATCCATGAGGATTGCGTTGGTGGTGGTAACCAGAAAGACAGTCTTGATGGTGGGAATCAAGAGCCAGTGAGCAGCAGCAGGCTAGATGATACTGCTGGACGTGCAGCTGGTTTTGATGGCAATGGTGCCAATGGTGGTCAGGGCCTAAGTGGTTCAGGGAAAGAGGAGACATTCAACTTCTCGACGCCTGCAGGGAACATGTTGAATCCGTCAACCATTGAGAGTCTACAGACAACAGCAACGCCCAATCCATTGTTTAGTCTGTTCCGCACTCCTCCTCGCCTCCGCATCGCTGAGTGCATGAGTGCCCGCTTGGAGCTTCTCATTGACCCGTTGGGTAGCTTTGACTTATTGTCGCCTTCACTCATGTAGGCTAGGCTCTTGAGCTTGAGCGTGGATATTGGAATACTGGAGGCTATCAGGCCATTATCATGGTTAAAACCTGAGTACAGCATGGTAATTTTCAAGTTCAAGATTCTTGAACTTGAAGTCGCCAAAAACAGGGTTACCCTACTTGTTTTGAGAAAATTCTCGCGACCCCAGGCAATCGTCCTGCGACAACGGAACCCGAGTGCCCAAAACCAGAACTGACGCGATGATCGTCAACCATTTGTACTATTCACCACTCACATAACTTGCTTACCAAGTAGTTCTCATAGGCTAGGAGGCTCCAAGGCAAAAACTGGCGCTAGTTGGCAAAAGCAAGTCGTTGATAGGTGTTTTTTTTTGTGCGGAAGGAAATATAAGTCCACCTCAACCATCTTAGTCAGTGCACGCTCTAATCTCTCCCTCACGTCACCGATCTCGTGTTACAACCCGTACACCCACGGCACTTACGTTAGTAAACGAGATTCGCGTTACTCGAGTCTTGCATTCAAGCTCGCGTCGCACACGCAGGATCTTGTCACACTTGCTGCCATTCAGCCTCGTGTCACGATCGTACCGTACCGTTTTAGGCACGGGTCGCTCACGCGAATGCCGTACTGGTTCGCGTAACGCACTCAGCCGTTAGTCGCACATGTTCCTCTTCGTCGGCCGCTCTTGCCCACGTCAGACCGCTTTCCTCGTCGCCCGCGCTTTCCCTCATTACCCTCCCCGACCCTCTGGTCGCATATGTTCCCGTAGTTGCCCACGCTCTCCCACGTTAACCACACATCCCCTCGTCGCAATTGCTAGTAGTAAACATACTGCGCTTCAGATCGTCAACCGCGCTCCCCTCATCACCCTCGTTGACCCACACCGATCCTCGCCGCCCTCACCTCCCTTGGTCACCGACATTCCCTCTCGTCGCTCGCGCTTTCCCTCATCACCCGTGCCGACCCTCGCCGCCCTCGCCTCCCCTCGTCGCCCGCGCGTCCCGTCGTCGGGCTTGCCTCCCAGTCACTCGCGCTTCCCCTTGTCATCCGCGTTTCCATCCGCTCTTCCCCTCTCCCCATCTCACCATCTCCAGCCCATCCTTCCTCCCTCATTCCTTCCGAAGGGGTGGGACAGATGGGGAGGAACAGATGGGGAGGAACAGATGGGGAGAAACAGAGGTGGTCGCTTCCGCCACCACAATCGAACAGCGTTTTGATTCCCTCTCTGCTCCCCACCATCCTCCCCCCAGCTCTCTCCCCGGCATCTGCCCCCGTTCCCCCCATCCTCTTCCCTGTTTCCCCGTATCCCCTGCCGTGCTTCCCCCCATCCTATCCCCTCTTACCCCGTATCCCATGCCCTGCTTCCCCCCATCCCCTTCCCTGCTTCCCCCCATCCCCTTCCCTACTTCCCCCCATCCCCTTCCCTGCTTCCCCTCATCCCCTTCCCTGCTTCCCCTCGTCCCCTCCCCTGCTTTCCCCCATCCCCTTCCCTGCTTCCCTCCATCCCCTTCCCTGCTTTCCCCCATCCCCTGCCCTGCTTCCCCCCATCCCCCTCCCTGCTTCCCCCCATCCCCTTCCCTGCTTCCCCCCATCCCCTTCCCTGCTTCACCCCATCCCCTTCCCTGCTTCCCCCCATCCCCTTCCCTGCTTCCCCCCATCCCCTTCCCTGCTTCACCCCATCCCCTTCCCTGCTTCCCCCCATCCTCTCCCCTGCTTCCCCCCATTCCCTCCCCTTCTTCCCCCCACCCCCCTCCCTGTTTCCCCCCATCCCCTTCCCTGCTTCCCCCCATCCCCTTCCCTGCTTCCCCCCATCCCCTTCCCTGCTTCCCCCCATCCCCCTCCCTGCTTCCCCCCATCCCCTTCCCTGCTTCCCCCTTTCCCTTTCCCTGCTTCACCCCATCCCCTCCCCTGCTTCCCCCCATCCCGTCCCGTGCTTCCCCCCATCCCCTTCCCTGCTTCCCCCCATCCCCTTCCCTGCTTCCCCCCATCCCCTTCCCTGCTTCCCCCCATCCCGTCCTGTGCTTCCCCCCATCCCCTTCCCTGCTTCCCCCCATCCCCTTCCCTGCTTCCCCTCATCCCCTTCCCTGCTTCCCCTCGTCCCTTCCCCTGCTTCCCCCCATCCCCTTCCCTGCTTCCCCCCATCCCCTTCCCTCCTTCCCCCCCTGCTGCCTCCCATCACTCTCATTCTCCTTCCTCCCGCACTCACACCTCTCAGTCCTCTCGCACTCTCTCTCTCCGTCCTCTCGCACTCGCACTCTCCTCCCCACCACCCTCAGCCCTCCTTCCCCTCACACCCACCCATGTTCCCACCTGCCCTCCCCATCCCTGCCTTTCCCTCCCTGCCCTGCCCTTCCCTTCTCCATCCCTTCTCAAACCTTCCCTTTCATGTCATGCCCTCACCTTCCCCCTCATCTTCCGCCCTCCAGTTACCATGCATGTGCACCCATCACTGTCTCCCCATACCAGTACATGCTTTCATCATGTGCGCTTGCTTGTGTTCCCCTGCAGTTGTTCCCTTGGCACCTCACACCACTTCCCCCATGTTCCACACACAATTCTTTCTGCCTACTCCACTCTCCAAATTTTCAGTGGTGAAGCAGAGGAGCAAGCTGAGGCGCAGCTAGAGCTAGTCCATGCTTTACGCTGTACCACCACCTGTTTCTTGTGTGTTGTATGCAAGCAGGATACTGTATTACTGTTGGAGATATCCATTTCAAAAGCGCAATATGTTTCTGCAGTGCAATATATTCTTCCAAGATGCATGGGCAAGAGTGTCAGAAGGGTAGATAGAGGCATGATTCCACTTTTGATTGTACCCTTCTCAAGGACTTGAAAAAAACATGAGGGATGGGATGATGGGCTTCGGCGAGTTGCAGTGCCAGAAAATCTTAATTGGTGTCACTTCACTACCCAGGGAGAGGGAGGGAATACGAGGGATGGGGAGGGGGAACAAGACTAAAGTCAAACAGGGGAGAGAGGGAAGAGGGGGGAGAGGAAAGCAGGGCTGAGAGGGAAAGACATAAGTACCGTAAAAAAAAGGGAGGATAGGGAAGAGGGGAGATAGGAAGAGGGGGGGAGGGAAAGTGTGAGATAGGAAGATGAAGCGAGGTGAAGAAGAGGGGGAAACGAGGGGAAGGAGGGGGGGAAACGAGGGACAACAAGGGGGGAAATGAGGGGAAGCAGGGGGGGAAACAAGGGAAAGCAAGGGGGGAAACGAGGGGAAGCAGGGGGGGAAACCAGGGAAAGCAAGGGAGGGAAATGAGGGGCCAGCAGTAGGGAAAATGAGGGGAAGCGGGGGGGGTGGGGGGAGGGAAATGAGGGGAAGCTGGGGGGAAAATAAGGGAAGCAGGAGGGTACAAACAGAGATAGCAGGTAGGGAAATGAGGTGAAGCAGGGAGGGAAATGAGGTGAAGCAGGGAGGGAAATTAGGTGAAGCAGTGAGGGAAATGAGGTGAAGCAGTGAGGGAAATGAGGTGAAGCAAGGAGGGAAATGAGGTGAAGCAGGGAGGGAAAGGAGGTGAAGCAGGGAGGGAAATGAAGTGAAGCAGTGAGGGAAATGAGGTGAAGCAGCGAGGGAAATGAGGTGAAGCAGTGAGGGAAATGAGGTGAATCAGTGAGGGAAATGAGGTGAAGCAGGGACGGAAATGAGGTGAAGCAGTGAGGGAAATGAGGTGAATCAGTGAGGGAAATGATGTGAAGCAGTGAGGGAAATGAGGTGAAGCAGTGAGGGAAATGAGGTGAAGCAGGGAGGGAAATGAGGTGAAGCAGTGAGGGAAATGAGGTGAAGCAGGGAGGGAAATGAGGTGAAGCAGGGAGGGAAATGAGGTGAAGCAGTGAGGGAAATGAGGTGAAGCAGGGAGGGAAATGAGGTGAAGCAGTGAGGGAAATGAGGTGAATCAGTGAGGGAAATGAGGTGAAGCAGTGAGGGAAATGAGGTGAAGCAGGGAGGGAAATGAGGTGAAGCAGGGAGGGAAATGAGGTGAAGCAGTGAGGGAAATGAGGTGAATCAGTGAGGGAAATGAGGTGAAGCAGTGAGGGAAATGAGGTGAAGCAGGGAGGGAAATGAGGTGAAGCAGGGAGGGAAATGAGGTGAAGCAATGAGGGAAATGAGGTGAAGCAGGGAGGGAAATGCGGTGAAGCAGTGAGGGAAATGAGGTGAAGCAGTGAGGGAAATGAGGTGAAGCAGGGAGGGAAATGAGGTGAAGCAGGGAGGGAAATGAAGTGAAGCAGTGAGGGAAATGAGGTGAAGCAGGGAGGGAAATGAGGTGAAGCAGGGAGGGAAATGAGGTGAATCAGTGAGGGAAATGAGGTGAAGCAGGGAGGGAAATGAGGTGAAGCAGTGAGGGAAATGAGGTGAATCAGTGAGGGAAATGATGTGAAGCAGTGAGAGAAATGAGGTGAAGCAGTGAGGGAAATGAGGTGAAGCAAGGAGGGAAATGAGGTGAAGCAGGGAGGGAAAAGAGGTGAAGCAGGGAGGGAAATGAGGTGAAGCAGGGAGGGAAATGAGGTGAAGCAGGAAGGGAAATGAGGTGAAGCAGGGAGGGAAATGAGGTGAAGCAGTGAGGGAAATGAGGTGAAGCAGTGAGGGAAATGAGGTGAAGCAGGGAGGGAAATGAGGTGAAGCAGTGAGGGAAATGAGGTGAAGCAGTGAGGGAAATGAGGTGAAGCGGTGAGGGAAATGAGGTGAAGCAGGGAGGGAAATGAGGTGAAGCAGGGAGGGAAATGAGGTGAAGCAGGGAGGGAAATGAGGTGAAGCAGTGAGGGAAATGAGGTGAAGCAGTGAGGGAAATGAGGTGAAGCAGGGAGGGAAATGATGTGAAGCAGGGAGGGAAGTGCGGTGAAGCAGGGATGAGGGGGAGAAAGGGTGGGCCATTGGCGTAGAGCATAGGGCGCAGAGCATGGGGCGCGGAGCATAGGGCGCAGAGCATGGGGAACAGAGCATAGGGCGCAGAGCATGGGGCGCAGAGCATAGGGCGCAGAGCATGGGGCGCAGAGCATGGGGCGCAGAGCATGGGGCGCAGAGCATAGGGCGCAGAGCATGGGGCGCTGTGCATAGGGCGCCGAGCATAGGGCGCAGTGCATAGGGCGCAGAGAATAGGGCGCAGAGCGCAGGGCTCATAGAGCAGAGCGCAGGGGGCAGAACACAGGGGGCGGAGGGGGCAGAGCGCAGAGTGCAGGGGCGCGGAGCACGTGTACCTGTCCTGGCATGGTGGTGCCTCGTTCTAGCGCCCTCTCCACGCTGCTATCCGAATAGAATAGTGCGCGCGCTGGACGTTTGTGAGTTGACGCGCTGCTAGACGACCAGTGGCGCGAGCTGCGCGTAAACCGGTGAGGGGGATGGTCGTCTCTGTATTTCGCGCGCTGCTACCCGCCCGTGGGCGCCCGGTGGCTGACAGAGTAGAATTGCATAACCCTAAGGGTATGCGTATTGTGGACGCCCCCAGTGTGGCATTGCCCTAAGTAATAGGCACTTTCGAGCCCAATATACGTTCGCAATGCCCCGGAACCGTCGACCTACGTGCTGCCAGAGGCAATCGATGTGCCAGAGGCCATATCACGCTGTGTCGCGCTCTTCTCAACGCTCCTTCCTGCGACTCAGCATGTACGTTTTCTGGCATCGTTTGCACGTTTCCTTGTTGTTAGCTCCTGCGGTTATTTCACACGAAGTAGTTAGTTTGATTGATCGTGGTGTTCTTTCTCCTCACTCGTGTTGGTGCTTCCCGTTTTCGTTTTTGCTAGTAGTCGCATTGTGCGTGGACCTTCTCCACTACTTGAACCTGATTGGGTGAAGAACAATCCTTGCGACACTCCGTCCAGTCGCTCCACAGTGCTTGCAAATCCGTCGAAGCTGCACAGTGTCGTTCACCATCGCTTCACGTTTGGCGAGACTCCTTTCCCCCTCGTCAATCGATATTTTTCTCGCTACACTGACTTTGCCGAAATTCTTGTTTTCAAGGTTTCGCCAACACTATTTCAAACCCACATAACTTGATAAATTACCATGCTGACTCCGGGCTTTAAATTGCTTCTTATTTCTCTTGCACATCGCACATTGCCAGCTTGAACCTGCAATGCAGATAGTATTATCGTACAACCTCCTCCAATCCACAGATAGTTGACAGATGTTATAGGTAGTATGGCATGGAGCTTCAGCTATACCATGTAGTACCAGCTTGATCTGCACAGGACACCACAGCACTTGCATCACTGACATTTTAGTCTCTGGATTGGATGACTTGGTGGTGACACTTTATGGGTGTTCCCATCATCCTGCAATACCGTACCAGGAACCATATTCAGTAATAGAACAGTGGATCCAACATGAGCTGACCACCGGAGGCTATTGTTGTTTGAGTTACGTTGAAGCCCAAGCTTCAGAATCTGGTTGCCCCATCATCGTAAGAAACGTGCCAACCAGATCTGCAGGGAGCACCCTTCTCATCATACACTCCACAGCATGTCCATCTTCTCTTCCAGTGTTTGTGTCCTGTATTCGGTCGGTCCGCCTTGTCGTTCCACACGTAGACTATAACTCCGCTCTTTTCTGACCAGTCACCGTCGACTCCTTGATGAGGAGGTGCATATGCGAACAATCCCTTGTCTCCTGCTCATTAAAGAGTTGGTTAGAGAGCGGAGCAGCGATGCAGGGAAGGTGGGAAGGGAATGAACAGCAGATCGAAGAGGATGCCTGGAACGCTGTCACCGCGAATGTCGTAACAGAAGCATGATGGTGCAACCATGTCGAGACATGTGACCATGGCTCTTGCGATAACATCTACCTTGACCAAGAATCCCTCAGAAATCTCTGACGTTAGAACACTTACCTGGCATGTGATCGTAACACACTTGAAAAAGCTAGAAACTTAATGCAAAAGAGGTATCTAACCTGTCATGTGGCCATGATAATTGCAAGCTACAGGAGAGTTGTCATCCGGATTGTAAGGATTTCCGCAACGCAAGCACGTCTGGAGGTTCTCTGCTCGAGCGGATGCAGAAGCCCCCACATTGGTTCGAACGGAGTTGGTAGCTGACGACGCGGAGCAGACGCTAAGAAACCTCACTTGATGGCGAAGCCTATGCTGTGCTAGGGAGCCAGTCTGAATAGTTCTGTTCACGGCCAGGGACGCCATGGTTTTGGGTCAACCTCGAAATTCTCTTCCCAAGCCAAATTCCTAAAGCTCAAGTTGAGGTCGAAATGAACGCAAGAGATCAGGGTATGAGAGAGCAGAAAAAAACTTTATTGATGTCAACTCAGAATATCGGGTTAACGCTGTATCGAGATTGCTTCCTGCTGTTTCCTTGATTGGTTCCCTGGTGCCACGTTGATTTGCACACACGTGAGTTCCGAAGCTACCATCGAGGATGAAAAATGAAGCGTGTGTGGGACCACATTTTTCCAGCCTGGCACCATGAATCATGCTGATGAGGCGGATTGCGAATTTGCTAATTGGTGCATTCCGTTTCTTTCAGCCGACCGATTTGAGGCAAAGGTTTTCTCAAGTGTTATCGAACGGCCCTCGATCAATCCCAATGTCTCGAACCTGTGTCCTGACCCCTGATCTGTCTGAACAATGAACTCCTCCAGCACGGGTTTTGAATCCTGATATGGTCCATTCACAAATCTGACTTGCTGAACACACTGGAATTCAGTCGTAGAATCTATTTTCTGAAGTCGGGTCGCAGTGTAACTTGATTGGGGTCTCTGTCTAGTCGTTCCTGATCATATTTCCGGGTGCTTGCTAACTTGGTCGAATCCCAGACCAGCGTTCCATCATGGCTGCCCTCGAAGATTACTGCGACAGGGACCTCATGTCCGAGCTGTTGAGGCGAATGAAATGCGCTCCTAAGCCAGAGAAGAGAGTTATTCTGATCGGTAAGTTTTTCTCATGTGTCTCCCCCATTTGATCCCTCGCAATCACCCTGTCCATTCCGTCCTCTTCAGCATATCGTTTCGACAGTGGGTTGTGCTTTCTGATTCTCTTATGTTCCTGTTTCCAGGTCCTCCCGGTTGCGGTAAGGGTACACAGTCTCCCATCATCAAGGAGGAGAACTGCCTGTGCCATCTAGCCACCGGCGATATGCTCAGAGCAGCCGTCGCTCAAAAAACGCCGCTGGGCATCAAGGCAAAAGAGACCATGGAGAAGGTATGTCGCATGAATGCTCGCGTCGCTATGCACCCGGCCGTGGTAGCTGTGGTTGCCTGTCGTATTTTATCCCCGCTTCAAGCATTTCACTCTTAACATTCGCGATTCATTTTGTCCATGTTCAATCTACCAACTGTGTCCAACCAGGGTGAGCTCGTGTCTGACGAACTGGTGGTGGGCATTATCGAGGAAGCTATCAAGCGGCCGTCCTGCAGCAAGGGTTTCATCCTTGACGGCTTCCCTCGCACGGTCGTTCAGGCAGAGAAGGTAAGCGAATGCGACTATCTCTCATCTGTGTCACGTCGCCATTGGGATCGGTTTGCATGGACCATGTTTCCAATAGAGCATAAGATTCATGAGGTGTTGGGGAGAAAATATCAGGATGTGAACAATGTGCCCCAACGTCTAGGTTCCTGGTTCTACCCTCAAGGGGGAAAGTCGCCGGCATGTGGATTATTATTCCAGGCGTCGTTGTTGTGTCCCATACTGTTTTTAACAGCTTGACGCGATGCTGGAGAAGAAGGGTCAGAAGATCGATAAGGTTCTCAACTTCGATGTTCCTGACGCCGTCTTGGAGGAGAGGATCACCGGCCGGTGGATCCACCCTGCCAGCGGACGTTCCTACCACACCAAGTTTGCTCCTCCGAAGGTTCCTGGAAAGGATGATGTGAGTGGTTCTTTTGACGAAACGGGAGGGTTGAATGAGGAATATTTGACTACAAGAATAGAAAAACGGTGTGGGGTGCTTGGGACGTTTCGTTCGCTCTCTCAATCCCTTTGCTCTCTCTCCATCCCTCCCTCTCTCCCTCCCCCTCTCTCTCTCTCTCTCTCTCTCTCTCTCTCTCTCTCTCTCTTTCTCTTCTGACGCACTTACACACTCAGTCACACCAACGTACACACACTCACACTCACCTACAGTCGCTTTCATTCGCTTTCACTCTGACACATTCTCAAGCCAAGGGGTCGCCTTTCTTTAATGTCATCATTTCCGTTTCCCCGTTTGACTGTTTACTGCCAGGTCACTGGCGAGCCCCTGATGCAACGGAAAGATGACAATGCGGAGACTCTTCGCAGCCGACTGGCGGCATTCCACAAGCAGACCTCACCAGTAAGTAAACTGGCACCCTTATCTACTCCGTCTATCTCCACATTTTTTAGATCCTTCGCATGCCTTCTGGCCTATTTTGTTCGGCTAATTCTCGGCACTAATTTTCATCTTTTATGTTGGCATTTGCAGGTCATTGACTACTACGCTGTTAAGGGCAAGGTTGCCAACTTGCATGCAGATAGGAAGCAGGAAGAAGTTACTGCTGAGGTTCGCGCTGCCATGAAATGAAGCTTTGTAACAACACCTGCTGGGTTTTTGATACTGTAGGTGAATAGGGCAGTCATGATACTCTCAAACCATCAAGAATTCTTTACGCTCTGCTCAAAATTGCGTGGGGCAGTTTCAGATTACACCCCAAATGTGGAACCACTCCTTCCCGCACTGAAGTGAGCTGATGAGGACGGCTTTTGGATATGAATGCTAAAGCCATAGCACAATCTATCAAGGCTACCTTCCCTCTCTTTCCTAGGTAACATGTGATTGGGGATGATTTCCATGTCAATGCGTAATCAGGGAAATATATTAATGCTGTGGCAACCATGCACATAGTCATGGATGACTGTACGATCAGTCACACGCAGAAACAGGTGCACAAACACGCAGAATAAGTTGTTCGCGACCTTATACAGTTGCTTTGATCCTCCCACTGTTCTCCCGCCCAGCCACCTATAAAAACCAACACAAAACGAATGCAATTCGAGCCTCGCCACATGTCATCAGCGTAAATTCTCCCACAATCCTGCTAGATCCTCTTCCCCATGCCTTGCGGTAAGAACGCTCGAGCAAGGGGTCACTGATATCTTGCTGGTTTACGCTTCGTGCCATCTCGTCTGGGCCATGCATGTAGGGGGGATGTCGCATAAATCGTCCGCAATCTCTGCAGCCTCTCGACATCACCCGTGATTCGAGGGTAGCAAAAGTGGCGAAGATGGTTTGGTTCGGTAATAGACGATTTAGGCAAACGTGATAATGCGGTACGTCGCGGCAATATTATCGATCTGCGGATTCCTAGGATCCTAGAAACCGACGACATTGGATGTGTTTCTCGTTCTTCTGTCAGTGAGCGACGACGTTTTCGCCTGTGACGAGCATGATGCAGGTAACCGTCGTTGAGCATGACACTGAGCATGGCAATGAGCATGGGATTGAGCATGACATCGATCATGACATCGATCATGGCAAGCTTGACATTGGCCATGGCATTCAGCTTGACATTGAGCATGACGTCAAGGTATGCAGCAGTTCACGCAGTGCGCTTGGCTCCTAACATGCTCGTGAGCATGCAGACTCCAAAAAAAGGCCCAAACTTTCATCACGTTCCTAATTTTCATCAGTTTTCCACTTCCATCACATGATCCACATCCATTTACTTCTTAGTGGTGCTTCGCTTCTCCAACTCCAGCTGAATTCTTCTCACGGATGCCTTCTCTCGTATGGCGTCGTTTTAGGCTGTCTCTGTCGGATCTCTAGAGAGAGGCACTCGGCCTCCTGTCCGACATCTCTCCAGCTTATCTCTCTGAAAATACAAGCATGGGGCTGCCTGGGAGGAGCGGGCATGGGCACAGGCAGGAGGGGAGGAGCAGCAGTGAAAGAAAGGAGAAGGAAGAGTGGGGAGGACATCAGAGGAAGAGGGGGAAGCGGGCGAAAGGGGAGGCGGGTGAAAGGGAGGAGGGGAGGGAAGAGGGACGAAGAGGAAGCAAGAAGAGGGGATTAGCTCAGATCACAGCTCTTCGATTTACTCCCATCTTTCAAGCATCCGTCCCTCAGAATCAAGTCTTTAGTATCGCATTGCACCCCTTGCATCTGAAAGCTTAATAACATCTGTATTTATTTAGGTCGTTGAACAACCTATTTCCATCCCACCAGCTATTCAGCCGAACAATGCCAGCCGAACACTTAGCTAGCTGCTCTTTCCCTCCTACCCAGCAGCTCGATTATTCACACTGAGCAGCTAAGCTTCTGCTTACTGCTGCTTGATTATTCACTTCCCAGCCATCCTCCCATCCGCTACTGGAATAGGGCGACAGTGACAGCGCCTGCTTGATGCTGTACCCACCCTTACATCCCTTCCCTTACATCCCTTCCCTTACATCCCTTCCCTTACATCCCTTCCCTTACATCCCTTCCCTTACATCCCTTCCCTTACATCCTCCCCTTACTCTCTCACTCCTGAAACAGCGCCTGGGCTTTCATGATTTCGACTCGAGCCAGCCCAATCATCCCCCCTGCAGCTTGCTCCTGCACCCACCCGCCCTGCAGCTCTCCCCCCACCTCCTCCAAAGTCGCAACACTATTATCCAGCTGCTCCCGCACCAACTCCCGCCTCCCCTCATTAATCAGCACCTCTGCATCACCCAGTGCTTTCACCACATCCCTGAGGTCCTCCTTCTGAGAGTCGTTACCAGGGGGGAGGATGCCATGTGCCTTGCGCACCAGAACTGCCGCGCCTTTCAGGAGGATGATGATGAGATGGTCCTTCTTGGACGGCTTGCGGGGTGGGGGAGGAGGAGGAGGAGAGGGAGAGGGCGGAGGAGGGGATTTCTTCTCAGGCGGGGGTGGCAACTTTTTCTCGGGCGGAGGGGGCGATTTGTGCTTGGGTGGAGGAGGAGACTTGTGTTCGGGCGGCGGGGGCGACTTTTTCTCAGGGGGAGGAGGGGACTTGTGCTTGGGGGGAGGGGGTGACTTGTGTTCGGGCGGAGGAGGGGACTTTTTCTCGGGCGGAGGAGGAGAATTGTGTTTGGGTGGCGGGGGAGACTTGTGTTCGGGCGGCGGCGGCGACTTCTTTTCGGGGGGAGGGGGTGACTTGTGCTTGGGGGGAGGGGGCGACTTCTTTTCAGGCGGAGGGGGGGACTTGTGCTCGGGCGGAGGGGGGTACTTCTTCTCGGGCGGCGGGGGCGACTTGTGCTTGGGCGGCGGGAGCGACTTGTGCTTGGGCGGCGGGGGCGACTTGTGCTTGGGCGGCGGGGGCGACTTGTGCTCGGGCGGCGGGGGCGACTTGTGTTCGGGAGGAGGGGGCGACTTTTTCTCAGGAGGAGGGGGGGACTTCTTGGGAGGGGGAGGGGACTTCTTCTTGGGTGGAGGGGGAGAGGGAGGAGGAGGGGAAGGGGACGGAGGAGGAGGGGAGGGCGGAGGCGACTTATGGAACTTATTGAATTTGTCCTTTAACTTGTCCTTCAAGGGGAAGGGCAGCTGGGGCAGGCGAGGCAGTGGGATGTTGAAGTTGAGAACGTTGAGATAGGACTGTGCAGGGAACACGTTGAAGGGACCGCCAGCACCACCACCGTCACTGTGTGGGATGCAAGGGCGACGAGCGGAGCGAGGAGAAGGTAGGGATCAGGATGTTATTTTTTTTTGTGGGGATAGAAGAGCAGGGTGTGTGGATGTCGTTTTGAAAAAGAGTGCAACAACAGCTACAACTGTGTCAATTGCATTAGTATGAAGTAGTCTGGTGGTGGTAATGCAGCACGATGGTGATGCTGAACTGAGGATGAATCTGGGGTGGGGTGTCTTGTGAAGGTGTGGCCTCACCTCAACTCCCGGGAAGTCCGCCTTGCATCCTTCCTACCGGGCCACGACGGCACATCACCTGCAGATACAGTGAAGGTTCATGGCGTGATCGGCATGCAAGCAGGGTCAGTGCGTCTCCACCAACAAAAGTAAGATGCGTTATGAGTATGGATCAACAGTATAAATTCCCGCAGCCTTGAGGAATTATTTACGGGCAAGAAACGACAGCTTGCTATTGAGGTGCTGTAAGTGAGTGAAAAGGTGAAAGCCTTGTAAATTGAAATGTTGTTTGCATGCAAAGACTATCTCGGAGTGGTTCCGATAAACTTACCTGCCACGCAAGCACTCAAACATCCAGTTGCAATGATCCACAAGAGGACCACCCTCTTCAGATTCGCGCTGCACGCCGCCATGCTCCCGCTCGTTGCCAGCCAGCAGCCCCTGCCAACTTTGGCGCCAAAGCTGTGGCACCTAAGTCGACTTCTCCGCAGGCAGGCGGACTGAAGCCTGCGGAAGACACCCGCGACCGACTGGGAGAACGCTAGAAACGAACCGAAACAGAGGCAGGAAGGAGGATGCGTTTTCAACCTCCAGGAGATGGTTTGTGCTGAGCTGACCTGACTTCGGATGATATGGGTAGTGAGAATGAGTTCCATCTGTAGTGATACTGCTGTTGCTGCTGCTGGGGCTGTTGGGTTGGCTTGGGTGTGTGAAATTCGAAATCAGGGATTTGAGAAATGCGGTTCGGGAATGCTGTCGCCGGTTGCCTTGGGAGGACCCGCGTCGCGCTGTCGTAGTCAATCTGGTCGTCGGGTCCGTCAGGTTTGGTGAGGGTAGTTGACATGGCGACGGAAGAGACGTCGATTCTGCCCTTTGTCAATCGTTGCGATTCGCTTGGGCGAGTGACTTGACTTACGGCTCAAAAGTCAGCGATGTCACTGCCTAGAAACGATAAGTGTTATCCCACATATTATATGGATTTAACAGCAGACATGCTTGAAACAGCTTTTATTGCTTCCGACACGATATACAAATGGTAGAAAGGCCTCGGTCACATGCACGAAACTTCACACATAATCTGATGGCATGCACCAGCTATGACGCTCAATTTGATTAAACATGGTTGTGACTTAGCAAGGGATCAGGAGAATGAGCAGAGTCGGGAGTTGAAAGATAATTTTGTAGAGCTGGTGGAGAGGACGCAAGGGAGAGGGATAGATTCGAGTACACTGGCAAAGGATCAGCTGCGACTGGAGTGAATGGTGCTGGGGAGGGGTGTAATTCGGGCAGGCTATGGGTTGCTCCTGCCAGAGAGGGGTATGATACAGGTTGCACCTCCTCACTCTGTGGATGCAAGCTAACCTCGAGAACACTCATCTCCATATTTGGTCCATCCCTCCTGCGCTGCCTCCTGTGCCCGTGCCTTCTTCTCCCCCTCTCCAGCCCCCTCCCCTCCTCACGCCCTCTCCCTCCCTCCCCCCCTCTTCCCCACCCGCTCCACCACAGGCCCAACATGTGTTGCTGCCTTCCTTGCTGTGATCTCCCGTGCTCCCTCTGCTGCCCCTGTTGCTCTCGACTCTCTTCCCTTCCCACACCCACTGCTGCCACTCCACCCGCCTCCTCCTCGCCCCCATGCCCCCTCTCATTCCTCTCTCGCACCCCCTCCCTCTCCTCCTCCGTTCTCCTTGCTCTATACCGCACTACAATCTCTTGGTACCACGGGTCACCACTCACTCTGAATCGCGATACAGGGATGTGCCTGAGCATGTCTGAAAAACTTCCAGGAAACATTCGTAACCGCTGGATTTTTTTGGGAGAAGCCATTGGTTGGAAAAAGAGAGGAGGCACATGGAGGGAGGAGGGGTTGGTGGAGGGTGAAGTGAGAGAGGGAGGGTTGGTGGAAGGTGGGGTGAGAGAGGGAGGGTTGGTGGAGGGTGAAGTGAGAGAGGGAGGGTTGGTGAAAGGTGGGGTGAGAGAGGGAGGGTTGGTGGAGGGTGAGTAAGAAACGTCTGCTAAAAACATTAGGAGAAATATTAACAGAGGCGATTCGTGAAAAGCAACTGCACTCGCTTGGAAAGGAAGCCGTGGGTTTATCAAGGCTGGGCAGGCATGAACTGATGCGAGGGGGTTGCGATTTGAGAATTCTCAAGAGTAACCCTAGCATGCCCATGCTTTTGCGGTGAATTGTTTTGTGAGTGACATGCTTACGTAAGGCCATGTGTCGGTGCGAGGAGGAGGAGCGGATCGGCCTACAAGCCTTGCAAGCAAGCGACGCTCAGCAAGCTCCATCTAACAGGGAGGTTGGAAAGGGAAGGGGGGGGGGGAGAGAAAGGCGGGAGGAAAGGAACAGTGGAAGAGAGGGTTGGATGGGGAAACAAGCATGCAGGTGAGCAAGGTCAATCGGCCTACAAGCCTTGCAAGCAAGCGTCGCTCATCAAGCTCCATCTAACAGGGAGGCTGGCAATGAGAGGAAAGAAAGACGGGGGAGAAAGGCGGGAGCAGGTGAGCAGGCTCAATCGGCCTACAAGCCGACGCTCATCAAGCTCCATCTAACGGGGAGGTTGGCAATGAGAGGAAAGAAAGATGGGGGAGAAAGGCGGGAGCAGGTGAGCAGGCTCAATCGGCCTACAAGCCGACGCTCATCAAGCTCCATCTAACAGGGAGGTTGGCAATGAGAGGAAAGAAAGACGGGGGAGAAAGGCGGGAGCAGGTGAGCAGGCTCAATCGGCCTACAAGCCGACGCTCATCAAGCTCCATCTAACAGGGAGGTTGGCAATGAGAGGAAAGAAAGACGGGGGAGAAAGGCGGGAGCAGGTGAGCAGGCTCAATCGGCCTACAAGCCGACGCTCATCAAGCTCCATCTAACAGGGAGGTTGGCAATGAGAGGAAATAAAGACGGGGGAGAAAGGCGGGAGCAGGTGAGCAGGCTCAATCGGCCTACAAGCCGACGCTCATCAAGCTCCATCTAACAGGGAGGTTGGCAATGAGAGGAAAGAAAGACGGGGGAGAAAGGCGGGAGCAGGTGAGCAGGCTCAATCGGCCTAAAAGCCGACGCTCATCAAGCTCCATCTAACAGGGAGGTTGGCAATGAGAGGAAAGAAAGACGGGGGAGAAAGGCGGGAGCAGGTGAGCAGGCTCAATCGGCCTAAAAGGCGACGCTCATCAAGCTCCATCTAACAGGGAGGCTGGCAATGAGAGGAAAGGGATGAAGGGACTGGGGGACGGGGTGGGAGGGTCACTGTGTGAGGATTGACAGATCGGCTTACAAGCCTTGCAAGCAAGCGTCGCTCATCAAGCTCCGTCTAACAGGGAGGCTGGCACTGAGAGGAAAGGGGGATGGAAAGGGATGGCGGGCAAGGAGAATGGTGGTGAATGGTGAAAGGAAGTAAAGAAGCTAATGAATTTATTGAGCTCAAGGTGTGTTCACTGGTAGGAAGTGGAAGTAGCAGGATGGGAAGGAGGTGCACGGATGTGCATTGGAACAAATCTATATTGAGTATAAAGTGTAATTACAGATAGCATATGGAATCTGATGTGGGTGGGGAGAAGGATGAGAAGGATGGAGAAGAGGAGGAAAGGACGAATGGAAACGAGGGGAATGCAATCTATATTGACTACGAAGTGTACTTACAGATAGCATATGGAATCTGATGTGGATGGCGAGTAGGATGAGCAGGATGCAGAAGAGGAGGAAAGGACGAATGGAATCAAGGACTGATATGATTGTTACTGTAGTCTGGATAAAGATGTACAGGGACATCATGCTCTGTAGTGAGGAAGCCAACAACAGGGATGAAAAAGGCAGTGGGTTATTGCATAGACAGGGATCAGAGAACTAAGGTAAGAATCCGGAGAGCAAACTAACAGAGGGCAGGTACCAGGAGATGAAAGTTTCTTTCCTATGCTGTTTCCTGGTGAAAGTTTCTTTCCTATGCTGTTTCCTGGTGAAAGTTTCTTTCCTATGCTGTTTCCTGGTGAAAGTTTCTTTCCTACGCTGTTTCCTGGTGAAAGTTTCTTTCCTATGCTGTTTCCTGGTGAAAGCTTCTTTCCTATGCTGATTCCTGGTGAAAGTTTCACAAAGGCCAGGTACCAGGAAACAGAATAGGAAAAAAAGAAAGGCAAATTGAAAACAAAGAAACAAAGAAATAATGAAAGAATTTAAGAATGAAAAAGAGGGTGGACAGGCAGGGATGGAGCCTTGCAGGAAAAAAACAGTGGGGTGAGGAACAAAGTGGGAGGGGAAGGGGGGTGACGGGAGGTAGAACACGGCAGAGGAGAGAAACAGGAACACAATTTTGGTGTGACTTCTGAGAATTCTCAAAAGAACACAAGGGGCAGGGATGGGGCAGCCGCCGCAGCAAAAGCAGCAGCAGCAGCAGTAGCAACAGCAGCAGTAGCAACAGCAACAGCAGCAGCAGCACATACCACGTTGTTGTAATGAGCACCAGCCAAGCCAAGGCTTGCAATCACCAGGTACAGAATGCTGAGGGCATGGGGAGGAGAGGAAAGGGGCGGAAGGGGGAATCAGAATTGTAGCTCAGAGTTAGGCCAAGGGTTACAGTTACCAGGTACAGAATGCTGGGGTGTGGGCAAGGGGGGCTGGGAGGGGAAGGAGGGGGAAGCAGAGAAGATGGGAACAAGACCATAGTTCAGGGCTAAGGCACAACATATAACTGCAAGAAAGCTCCCAGAAGTTACAGGATAACAAGGTCGTTCACTCCTAGGCTCAGTCACTCACAGGTTCGGTTCGGCAACTCACAGGTATGACATGGCAATCCAGAGGGTTTGTGAAGTGAGCATGGATGCTGCCATGCCATCAAGAAGAGCAGCAATTGGCACATCATTCCTGCTGCTACCACCATCACCACCACTGCTACTATCACCGGTGATGTTGCTGCTGCCCGGAACGTTACTACTGGAAGTGCCGCTGCTGCTGCTGCTGCTGCCAGTGGTGGCGCTGTCAGAGAGGTAGCTATATCCATTGAGCGATATGTCAGGATGATAATTTCCATCAACACTGCTGCTGCTGCTGCTGCCAGTGGCGATGGTGCTGCCAGAGAGGTAACTGTGCCCATTAAGCGACATGTTGGGATTATAATTTCCATCAACACTGCTCCCATCAACCCCACCAACACTGCCGCTGTTGCTGCTGGCGCTGTAGCCACTGCTGCTGGCATGTGAAGGAAGGGCAGCAGCAGGAGGGTTGCCGTTGGTGGTATTTGCAGCAGCAGGGGCGCCAGCGGTGCTGTTGACAATGATGCCAGCTGGGAGGAAAGAGGGGAATTCAGAGAGGGAAAGGTGGGTGGTGAGAGGTGAAGAGTGGTTCACCAGCTGACCGGTCTTTGAGTATTACTTGTCCATATTTTTTCTGTGTTGTATTCTGAGGTTCGATGTCAGGTACGTTCTGAGGCGCGTTGTGAGGCGCGCTGTGACGTGCCGCAGTCATCGACTGACAGAACCATTCTTTTGGGTTTGCACTCATAGGGTGGATATGCACTCACAGAGAAAGGCAGCGATATAGAGGAGGCAGCCCAGCAGCAGACACATTCTGAGGTGCTGCAGCCTGCACCGCCTGTACCGCCTGGATTGCACTCACAGAGAAAGGTGCGTCTGGGGCAGCACTCACAGAGAAAGGTGCGTCTGGGGCAGCACTCACAGAGAAAGGTGCGTCTGGGGCAGCACTCACAGAGAAAGGTGCGTCTGGGGCAGCACTCACAGAGAAAGGTGCGTCTGGGGCAGCACTCACAGAGAAAGGTGCGTCTGGGGCAGCACTCACAGAGAAAGGTGCGTCTGGGGCAGCACTCACAGAGAAAGGTGCGTCTGGGGCAGCACTCACAGAGAAAGGTGCGTCTGGGGCAGCACTCACAGAGAAAGGTGCGTCTGGGGCAGCACTCACAGAGAAAGGTGCGTCTGGGGCAGCACTCACAGAGAAAGGTGCGTCTGGGGCAGCACTCACAGAGAAAGGTGCGTCTGGGGCAGCACTCACAGAGAAAGGTGCGTCTGGGGCAGCACTCACAGAGAAAGGTGCGTCTGGGGCAGCACTCACAGAGAAAGGTGCGTCTGGGGCAGCACTCACAGAGAAAGGTGCGTCTGGGGCAGCACTCACAGAGAAAGGTGCGTCTGGGGCAGCACTCACAGAGAAAGGTGCGTCTGGGGCAGCACTCACAGAGAAACGCGGCGATATAGAGGAGGCAGCCCAGCAGCAGCAGGCACGCGAACACCCTCTTGGTGCTCTTAAAGCCCGCCTCCCACTTGGGGTCCAACAGAGGTTCCATGCCAGCTGTGCCGTTTGGCGCCTGTAGCGCATCCAACGTGGCCTGAGAGGAGGACCGCGGGATGATAGGTGGCAGCACCAGGTGCACCGCTTCTATCCACGTGGAGCCCTCTGATTCGCCTGATGCGGTCACTGGCAGCGGCGGCGGAGGGTGGGGTGGGGTGTTTGGGGCGGGGGGGGGGGGAAGTGGGAAAAGGAGGGGAAGGGGTGAGGAAAGTGAGGGGGGACCAAATTGTGTTAGTAAAGGGGATAGGTACATGATGATCAGTTGAAAGGGGAGGGGGAATACACTGGATTTAGACAGGCTAAAGAGGTAATAGCAGTTTGTAAACGAATCAAGTGAGCTGAGATACGTAGTTTGGGTCACCCCTACATCGAATCCTACTATTTCTGGCAATACTACTATATCTGGCACTGCTACAACCTCTGCTAGCGTTATATCCTTACCAGTGTCTCCGTCCCCACCTTCCCCGCCGCCTCGTTTCTCTCTACTATCCCTGCCAGACATCTTGTATCCTTACCGAAATGGAAGTCCATCAGGTCGTCTCCGTCCCCACCTCCCCCGCCACCTCGTTTCTCTCTACGCCCGCCGCCCTTGCCTCCCTCGCGGCTACAGCTGCTGTCGTCGCTACAGTAACTGCTACAGTAGCTGCTGCAGCTGCCGCTACAGCTGCCGTCACTCTCCCCCCCTCCCATCGCGTGGCTGCCTTCTGCCGGGTCATAATACGCGTTTATGGCAGCCCCGTTATGCGCCTCAGCGTGGCAGAAAATGCTGCAGGATTTCTCTAACATTATACACTCAGGAGATGTTCCTTCATCCCCGCTACAAGCCCACATATCTGCATCGATCTTTTGCTTCTCCTTTAGCTCTTTAACGGGACTTTTACTCTTGCCACGTTCCCCTTTGCTCGCGTCCCGCCCTTGGCCCCCATCCCCGTTATAAGCAACCTGCGTTCCAACAAAGAACGACAAACCAGGCCCATGTATCACCACAGATAGCGGCCGCTGATCATTACTTTCACGCCCCCCTTGTTCCGCACCCCCGTTCGTCCGCCCATTCCTCCGTTCCCCCTCATCGCCCCCCTCATGCGCATTAGCGGATTCCGCCGCAGCTCTCCGCCCGGCCCCCCTCGTCCTGCTCCTTCTCCTTCCCTGCGCCTCTCTTTCCGCCCCTTCCGCGCGACGCGTAACCCTCCTTGCGCCCCTCGTTGCACGTGCGCCGAACCACATCCTCTGCGCCGACGCTCTCCCGCGCAATCTTTCCTCCGCGCTACCTCCTCCCGCGCTCTCCACCGACTGCGCGCCCCCCGCGTCGGCAAACTCAGGGCCAAGCGCATGCTCGGCACGGCCGCTGCTGACGTCATCGTCCGCGCGACCCGGACTAGAGTTACTAGAGCTACTGGAGCTGCCGCTGCTGCTGCTGCTGCTGCTGCTGGCGGTGGAGTCGTTACTCGTACTGGAACCGAACCTGCTGTCGGACCTGCTTGTAGCGGAGCTGTTAATAACGAAGCAGTGCGTCAGTCGCGCGCTTGACCACGCTGCGCTCGCGCTCGTTGTTGTCACGCCGAAGCATCCGCTGCTGCGGACGCCGTCGGATCTCTGCCCGGTGGCGCCGTTGGCGCCGTCGGAACTTGAATCCTGGCCGTCGATCACAATCTCGACATTGTCGCCGCGCGCGAGCAGCAAGCGCCTGGCTTCCGCTTCCGACCCGTCTTCCGCCTCCGCTTCCGCTTGCACTTCCGCTTCCGCTTCCGCTTCCGCTTCACGAGCGGGAGGAGAAGCGATAGCAGATGAGGGGACTATAAGAGAATCGCTGGTCGAAGTCGTGACTACAGACGTGACTAAAGCAGAGCCGCTGCTACTGCTGCTGCCTGCGCTGGCGGCGGCGCATTCGCCGCAATCTGAGCAGTCGGCGTTCTGATGGAAACACCTGCGGTCCGGGGGCTGTTGTTCCATGCTAGTTACCTCTGCTTGGACGGAGATATATACTTTTCACTACACTCGCTCTGGTGACTTTCGAGTCGACGTAGCAGTCAACTCTGACTGTATAAACCTTGACACTCGCTACAGTAGTGGCATTAGCTTGCCATAGCACGTACGGCCGCTAAAATCGCAACCACCGCTGCAGGCACATCGCATTGCGTCACATGCACGGCGTTGATGAGCTCACGAACTCCCATAAAATGTCGAGACTACTGACACTCAGAAATGTTGAAATGCATGGCGAGTATATGAACTTTGAGAAGTGCTTCAACTCGGAAACGTGTGTGCCAAGCCTGCTTTCAGAACGATAATTTCTCTTCTTTGCTTGCTTATCATTCACTTTTTTTTTCCCGTGATCGATAATACCACCTTCCAGCTTGGGCGCAGCAGAGCCTTCCGCGCTGGAAAGGCAGAATACGCCGCTGGTATCGACAACTCTGGAAATGTCGACTAAAGGTCCCCACGAATTCAACCAAGCTTGACAGCTTCGGGCTGGACATTACTGACCCGTTGATACAAGAAATGGCTGCTTGTCGAAGTTGGTCGGGGAGGGGAAAGAAAGCAGCGGGGAAAGAAAGCAGCGGGGAAGAAACATCACTCACCTCGAAATTCACGCGAATTTCAGTTTCACATCGCCGTTGAGATGATGCTGGCGAGTGCGATACGTAAATCTCGAAAAGATGGACGGATGAGATGTGACGGTTTGATGCTACGATTCTGGGGGCAGCATGCGCTGCCAGTTGCTGCGGGGTTCGTGATGCCCACTTGGAAAATGTGGGATGGGAAGGGATCATGCGGGGCCCGCACAATGCCACAGCTGGGAGAATGATGTCAGTCCCTGGAGGCTACGGCGCGCAGTCGTAGCCCAGAGATTCGGCCTGCGCAGCTGGTTCTTTGATTGGGTGGGGGACAAAAGGGCACTTGCGGGGGGGTCTCCGCGGGAACGCTGGTTCGGTCGTTGGGCTGGTTGTAAGTGGTGGTGGTGGGGTGATGTGTAGGTTTGTTCTGTGATGGGGATCTGAGAATCACGAGATCACGGTGTGATGATTGCAGATGCAAAACATCCGTCGTTCCAAGACTCTAGTTTCCCTGTAAGAAATTGAGGAGTTTTTAAACTCGCGCTGCCTCGTTTTCCTCCATCAGGGTGATGTGCTGCGTGTGGGCTTCCAACCGGACTAAACGGATGGGTCGAACGAGGACTGGACTGAAAACCCACAGATGTTGTGTGTGTTGATTTGTGCGACACGTCTGTCCATATGGTGGGAAAATCAACGGTAAGCATCACGGGGATTGGGTTAGACATTGGCGAATCAAAAGTTCCCACGGAGAAGCAGCCGGAAGTGATACGATTCGACCGACCAGATGACTGGTTGGATATTTTTGGGACTACCAACCAGGAATCAAGAATCCGAAAATTCCCACAATTTCGGAAGAAGCTTGTTTCTCGTTCGTCAATGACGTCAATCTGCAACAACTAGCTGTAAAGACCTGAGATCATTTGGTGGATCCACGGATATACCCCTTAACAGCCTTACCTCCTGTACGTTAAAGAGAGCAGGCAAAATAGTGAAGGGAGGCCCAGTTTGAAAGGCTGGCACTGTTTCAGGAGGGTGCTCCATGCTCGACAAGAAATGAATCACTATTCGTGAAAAAACTTGCCCCAGTCTGGCAGGCATTGTGGGCATTCTGGGCGTTATGGCCATTTTTAACGGGCCCCCAAAAAATGCCCCCTCGAAATAGCTGCGAAATCAGACTGTAGTTGCAGTTAACCTTCGAAATAACGGGCCAGAGTGTTCGGCTGGCATTCCATTGTTAACGGGAGTGGAGTGTTGGCCCCGCACTCGCTTGGGCAACGCCGACGACTTGGTTAGATGTACCGGAGAAGAAGTCGACCGTTCATAGTGGGAGAGCTGCTCGACAGGCTTCGTCGAGCTGCAGGGGACCGCTGTGGTGTTGTTGTTGATCAGGGAGCTTGACAGCTTCAACTGACTGGTCTGGGCGACGGGTGGGCCGTCGACCAGGAGTGTCAGTTCGACCTGTCAGAATATTATGCTTGTCTAGCCTGCAGTGGGGTACTCTATAGTCAGTACAACCCAACTAGGGTTTCCTATATATATCTCAACTGCTGCTAGTGCAAACCCCTCTTTGCTGTTTCTAACTTTCTGCTTAGTCTTTGACATGGTATCAGACCGGTTACGCTCCTGGCCTGTGGGCCCACCGTTAGCTTTCGCTGCTGTCGTGTCTGTCGCGCGCCCCGTGGCGCGCGACATTTTTTTCTTCCCGCCACGCGCTCGGGGCGTATGGCGGTTTTCTGCCCGCTGCGCGCTGCCCGTCGTGCGCCCCGAGGCGCGCGGCGGTTTCCTGCCCCGCCGTCCAGCGAGTCGCCCCCCGTCGTCCGTCGAGGCGCCCCCAGGGACCCGCGCCCTGGGGGCCCGCGCGCCGTCCCCCTCCATCGTCTCGTCGCGACACCTTGGGGGCCCGCACGCCGACCCCCTCTCGTCGCCTCGTCGCGGCGCCTTGGGGGCCCGCGCGTCGCCCCCTCCCGTCACCTCGTCGCGGCGCCCTGGGGGCCCGCGCGTCGCCCCCTCCCGTCGCCCTTCAAGGCACCCTGAAGGCCCGCGCGCGGCTCCCCTCCTGTCACCCGCCGTGGCGCCCTCGGGGGGCCTGCGCGCTGCCCCCCTTGCAGCTCGCGAGCCGCCCCTACAGCCCGCGAGCCACCCCACCAGCACGCGAGCCGCCCCTGCAGCCCGCGCGTGCTGCCCTGTGGAGCCGCGCACCACTCCCTGCCCTTGTGCAACTGCGCGGTGCTGATTCTGGGGGTGGCGGGTGTGTGAGCCGTTCCCTGATCCTCCTCCTACTCCGTCTCCCACTGCTCCAGCTGCCGCTGAGGGGGGTGGGTGTGTGGGAGCCGAGGGAGTGGCGGTAGGGGGGTGTCGTGGGAGTGGAGCTAGGGGTGCAGCAAAGGGGTGTGTGAGAAGGGGGTGTGGGACTGTTAGGGGAGGTTGAAGGGGGGGATGGCCGCCGTGAATCCAGCAGCTCCAGTTG